GGAGCAGAGAGGCCTGGGCTGTTCCTCTCATCAGCCCTGCAGAGTCTGGCTGGGGCCCTAAGAGCAGGGCTGCTTCTTTCTGGGCTTTTTTTTTTTTTATTCCCAGTGCAAACAACTGTACTTCCCCATCGTGGGAGTGTGTGCAAAGCCAACGTGACAGAGAGGGCTCCAGGCTGGCCGCTGCACTGACACAAGAGGCCCCTTGGAGCAGGGTTACCCAACACTGCTCTTCCTGCGAGTGCCACCAGCCACAGCCCAGCTGTTTCCCCAGGTGGAAACTCACCTTCCTTCACCCCAATTCACTAGCAGGTTGGATGCAAACGAGATATTTTCTTCTTCTAATTAATCTTCATGGACCTCATAGGCTGAGCAAAACAAAACATAATTTTCTCTGAAGGATGACTCCCTGGCCAGGTTACAAGCTGTTCAAGATGGGAAATAGAGGCAGCAAAGTCACCCCAATCAAAGGTCAAACAGATAGGAGCAGAGACAATCTTAAGAGTAGAGAGAAATGTATGTATATGTATCTGTGTGTGTGCTGGGGAGGTGTTGCAAATGAGAATGTTACAGCAGAGGAATTCATGGTACAGAATCTTAATTCTCCAGGAAATTAAGGTAAAAAACTTTTTTTTTTAAAAGGTCTTTTTTTTTTTTTTTTTTTTTGAGGCGGAGTTTCACTCATGTTACCCAGGCTGGAGTGCAATGGCGCGATCTCGGCTCACCGCAATCTCCGCCTCCTGGGTTCAGGCAATTCTCCTGCCTCAGCCTCCTGAGTAGCTGGGATTACAGGCACGCGCCACCATGCCCAGCTGATTTTTTGTATTTTTAGTAGAGACGGAGTTTCACCATGTTGACCAGGATGGTCTCGATCTCTTGACCTCGTGATTCACCCGCCTCAGCCTCCCAAAGTGCTGGGATTACAGCCTTGAGCCACCGCGCCCGGCCTAAAAGGTCTTAAAAGCTGCTGGTGTGATTCCAAAAGACTGAGAAACTCAGCAGTGATGGTGAGTTCACTTTTTAGAGGTGCCTCAACTACAAAGTACTTCTCCCACAGTCAGGAACTTTTCCCCTCCAACACAAGTGTGCACATATGCATGTGTCCTGTCCCTCTCTGGGAGGGCACACAACTCAGAGCGCTTCCTAAGGGTCTACAGCCTCAGGTGGTAAGTCACTGGCTGAGGGAGGAGGTGGTCCTAGAATACTGATGTGGGTTTCCAGCATCTAAGCAACAGTTTAGAGAAATACAGGCCAGGCGTGGTGGCTCATGCCTATGGTCCCAGCATTTTGGGAGACCAAGGTGGGATGATCACTTGAGGCCAGGAGTTTGAGGCTGCAGTGAGGTATGATCTTGCCACCACATTCCGGCCTGGTGACAGAAAGAGACCCTGTGTCTTAAAAAAAAAAGAAAGAAAAGAAAAGAAAGAAAGAAAAGCAAACCTCTCCACACAATTCACCTGACCACACATATCTTCTGTGCACTGTAGAGAGACCAAACTCCGTAGTCCACGTCTGACCAGGTGATCTCAGACAGTGAGGATGCCCAGGAACCTTCCCTCTTCAAATCCCTACAGACGTTGGCAGGCAGTCTTTAAACCAGGCTATCCTTGTTCAGCATAAAGGAGCTGCTTCTGATCCTTCCCAAACTCACCCGAGCAGGCAGTGCGAAGGGAGGTGCCAGCAAGCCGAAGGAGGCTTTTCTCAACTGATCATTTTGGGAAAAGCTAGATACAGATTTCATGGCTGGAATGCAAGGGTTGTGAAATGCTGAAGAAGCCCCAAAGAAGGCCAAGGACTCTCCTTCCGGGAAGGCAGTGGGAGGAGGGCTGGCAACAAAGAGCGGGAGAGGAGCAGGTTACCCAGGAAGCCTGCCTTTCTGAAAGGAAGAAATAGACCCTCAAAATGGAAAGAAATCCCCTAGCCCTGAGGTGATAGAGAGGCTAAAGATAGGGTTGTTTTTGTTTCTGCACATGAAGGAAATAAGGCCTTGTGTCACAAAATAATTTTGGTATAAATGAGCCAATTATGACATAGCTTGTTATTTCTGGGATTTGGAATCACCGAGGCTCATAGCATCTCCTAGGAGTTATTTAACTCTCCTAGACTTAAATAAGCCCGATATGTTTCAATATGAGGCCTTGACCTTGTCCTCAGTGCCATGTAAAGAGGTCCCGATTCATGCTGCAACTAGTTAGATGAATTCCACCAGTAAGGGTCATTATTTTCTTAGAGATATAGTCTGATGTGTCCCACATGGGGTCTCTGAGAATGGGGTAAGGAAGATTACACCCGTTTTAATGGCTGATAGATGGCTGTAAGCTCTATCCCTTTCTAACAGTGGACAAGATACTTATTAGCCTCTCTGTACCTCATCCATTAAAAAGGGGGATATGTAAGATTGTCGGCCACAGGGTGGCTATGAGGATGAGTTAAATGAATGGCGGTAGATAGTAGCTGGTACATTACCTAGCACAGAACAAGTACTAGTAAAGTGTTAGCTGCTGCTGAGGTGTGAAAAGAGCAAGTGTTTGACGCCCCGAAGTAGGCCAGCACCCGGCTGCTAATGCCCAGGCTTCATCAGCTGCTTGGAGCCTCTGATCTAGTTCTGTATCTTCCTCAGACCACAGACAAACCCGCAAAGACCTATGCATCAGAGCTCCCTGGCCCAGAAGTCCTGATTGAGGGGAAATGAGATGTGCAGACAAAATAAGGCCCATGCTGGCTGCACCCCCACACGGAGAGGAGCAAACACTGGTGCCAGCACATTTTGGGTCAGCTTTCTCAGTTGCAATCCATGTAGTGTATCTGAAACGGGGTCAGGTCCCACAGTGGGCAGCACAGATATTACCATCGAGCTCACTGATCTGAACTGAGTCCATCATCATCGATCCTGAGTTAACAGGAAGCTTGAGTCTGACAGGCTTGAGGGGTATGTTGGAAAATGTTCTTGGCAAAGGAGGACGAGAAACCATTTCTCAACCAATTGCTGACAAATTGGTAACCGGCACCAAGAACCTCAGAGGAAACATTCTAAATCCCTTGGACTACAGATCCTGGCACTTTAGAGTCCTGACTGGGCATTAAACCTTCAGGAAGGGGTGACAACTCCTGGTACCTCAAATCTATTCCCACCCCTCTCTCTGTAACTCAGCCAACTCAAGCCAAAGGGTAGAAGCTGCAGCGTCTTCGCCTTATGTCTACAGAGCCTTTGGACCAGAACCAACACCCTATAGCCCATCAGGGTGTGGGCTGAGTCTGGGCTTATGTGTATGTCTAGGAGCCCAGAGCCGGGTGCCCCCTTGCAATGTCTGGGGGTGCAGTAGCTGGAAGTGCCCCTAAGCCAGTGAGTGAGATCTCAGGCCTGTCCCAGATACACAACAGGGGCAAGAAGGGTGTATCTCTGCAGGAGCCTGTGCCCTTCTGCCTAGAAACCCCAGGCTTCTAGAGGCAGAGAGCCATCTGGACTGAGACTGTCTCCAAGTTATAGGCCTTCCAGTACCTCTGGCCTCCCAACAGTGCCAACAAGGTCCAAAGTGAGAAGCCAAGCTTAGGGAATGGGAAGGAGTATAGCCCTGGGAAGGGTCCAGACTCACAGGTAGAGAGCTTCCATATGTCCTATGACCCAGTGTGGCCATCTGCTGCTGCCAGGGGACAATCAGGATGCCTCAAGCCAGCACTTCAGGTCAGCTGGCTGGAGAAACCCACAGGCCAGAGTTAAAAGCTGTGGTGGCAGTGAAGCCTTCTCCAGGCTCTTGCCAAAGAGCTCAACTCTCAGGACAGCCCTGTTCCCAGAGTAACTCTATTCCAGTCAGGTCCCAGGAGGCAGCCTCAACTTTAACCAGCCAGGCCTCCCCTGTGCTATCCTCTTGAGTTCCTTTCCCTGCTTATTAAAATTCTAAGGCGCCCTCAAGGTCCATGCCATGTTCTTCCTCCTCCAAGATGCCCTCCCTAACTACCCTAGATACTGTGGGCCTGTCTTTTCTGTAACACACTGAAGCGTTACTATTTCTGGGAACCACAATCAGTAACTGGAGCTAGAATCCAGAGAAGCGGCCATTTCCAACAAATCACATCTAGAGCCAGACACATGCCATTAAAAGGAAGAGCCTGCGCACCCCAGATGGCCCCCTGGGTCCTGAGCTTGTCAGATAGCAAGTGTGTAATAAAGACTTCTTAGAAGAAGGCTAGATCACCCTGGTCTTGCAGGGTGATTGACTCTCCCCACCGCTTTCAGCCCAAGGCACAGCTATTTCCTCCCTGGCAGGCAAGGTTCCTGCTTTGGGCTGCCAGCCCCCAGGTATCTCCTGCCAGCAGCTATTCCCTAGAGCTGCCCTGGGACTAATGGCAGAGGGGGGTGCCCAGGTCCAGCCCTGTCCATCACTCATCCCCTCTATCAGAGGAAGAGAGGTTGGCAGGAAGTGGATCTGACCTCTGGGGAGGCCACAGTCTCTCCTAAGGGCTACAGGAGCCCCTGGACAGGCAGCAGAGGCCTGCAAAGGACTTCCTTTCCCTTCCCTGGGCCCCAGGGAAGAGAGGCAGGAAGAAGGGCCTCAAACGCAGGCAACTAGTATGGGGCTGGCCAGAGAGGGAGGCCCCCAGGGTTGTAGCTATCAGCCGGAGACCAGGCTCCAGGAAGGAAGGAAGGGCAACTCTAGCCGAGACTGAGATAAGGAGGGAACTGTGCTCAGCACAATGGGCTCCCACAAGGCTAGGAGGCCCCAAGTCAGATTTCACCTCAACCTGGCCTCTCGTCTGTTCACACGGCTCATGTAAATATTTACTGATGTTTATATTCACGGTCTGCTGGGTCCCCTCTGAAGCCCTCTCTTATGACCCGCAGATAGATCTGTGTGCCCCAGACCATGCCTGCTCTTAAGCCTAGAGACCCTGGGCCCATCCAGCAAGGGCTATGCACATTGTTCTCTCTCATGCAATCCACAGGGATAGGCCCTTCAGAACAAAACTGTCCTCTTGTTCCAGCCCTGGGACACTGGGGAACTTACGGGGCCCGGTCGTGGGCGAGGCCGTTCTGCCGCTGAGGGTTGATTGGTGGAAGGACAGGTTTGCTGTTGATCTCGAGTCCTCTCCTCAAGGTCTCCCGGATCTGCTCTGTGTCTGCAACAACACCACTAAGTTGCCCAGTGGCCCAGTGGCCTCCCAGCAACTCTCATCCTGCTCTTGAAACCTGGCTTAGCAGAGGTGCTAAGAAAAACTACCACTCTGGTCCTCTCTAGGCATCCAGATGTGAGTGCTGAGTGAGTACAGACTGTGAGGGGACAATCGTGTTCTTAAGAAGCTCTGGGTTGGAAGAGTGCCATTCTTGTAGAAGCCAGAGGTAGCCTCTAGAGTTCCAAAGGGTGGTCTCTCCCATCCTTTTCCTTCCTGTGTCACAGGCCCGAGGTTTACCCTTAACATGGTCAATCCCCAGTGGTCAGTCTCTGTGGAGAATGGATGCGCGTTAAGGCCACAAACGCCCTGCCATAAATGGGCAGCTGCCTCTCACACACCTTTCTGGGTTCTGGGTGGTCAGCTAGCATCTGACCCTGCCACCCCTTCCCCTTGTACTCAAGTCAGTGAGATGCTGAGATCATCTCTCACCTTGGCCTAACCCAGGAAACTCTGCATCTCCATGGAGAGGCAAGGGCCAGGAGATGAAAGGGTTCCCTTGGTGGGATTATTTCTTTGCAAGGTGCTTTGCTGGTCTTTGGGGTGAAGCTTACTAGTCTGGTCCCCTATACTGAGATTTGGACCTAAGATTTATCTCTGCAAATTGTAAACACATACAAAAAAGCAAATTAAAATTAGTTGCTTAAAGAGTGGCCTCAGACTGGGAAGGAGATGAATACTAACTTTTCTAAGTATTTAACTTGTTACAGTGAGATGGATTACTTCTATAATTTTTTAAAAACAGCCAATAATGATTGAAATTTTAAACAAGACTATGACTGCCTCTTTAAATCGGTCAAAAGCAACCAAATGATTTTAATAACTGTATACCCTCTCTTTGAGCCTCCAACAGGCTTGGCATACCATTAGAACAAACAGGAAGGAAGAAAGGGCCCGGCCGGGTGTGGTGGCTCACATCTATAATCCTAGCACTTTGGGAGGCTAAGGCGGGTGGATTGTTTTGAGCTCAGGAGTTTAAGACCAGCCTGGGCAACATGGCAAAACCCCAATTCTACAAAAAATACAAACATTAACTGGGCGTTGGTGGCGTACATCTGTAGTTCCAGCTACTTGGGACACTGAGGCTGGAGAATCGCTTCAGCCTGCGAAGCGGAGGTTGCAGTGAGCCAAGATCAAGCCGCTGTACTCCAGCTTGAGCAACAGAGACCCGTCTCAAAGGAAAAAATAAAAAAAAAGGGGGGGGGCTCAAATATTTGCACTAGGGGTTTAAGTTTGTCCTTCACAGAATGAACAAAAACATTTTATAAGTATTATCATATGCGTATTTTATTCAGGGCTGTAGACATTCTTCAAAAAATAAAAGATGGAAGAACGAAGAAAGGAAGTAGACAAAGAAGCTGTCAACACATGTACATGTAAGTGGCTGCTTTTCCTTTGCAGTTAGTTGGGGACGCCCTCTGCTAAAAACCACAACTGTTTCTGTAGCCAAGGTCAGCATAGGGAGATTCCAACAGGACAGCCACATCCTCCTTCCCCAAGACCCCATCCGGAACGCAGTGCAGAGGCCCTGCCCACAGCGCCTAACCCTGTATCTGTATGACAGGAGGTGGGGCAATTTGCAAGCTGGCCTCATATTCAGGCCTCTCTTGTCGAAGCCCTGGGAGGGCTCAAGGCCAGAGTGAGCCTTGGATCTGGCATGTCCTTCAGGCCAGAGCTGGGCCCTGTGTCAATTCCGTGGGTGGCCGACACTTGTTCTCTTGCACTTGGGTGGACTATGGACTTTTCCTGTAACTGTTCTAAGGCTTCCACTCACCTCCATGACCTCAGATTGCAAGGGGCAAATCTAAAACACAATGGTGCCTGCTGGTGATGCATTTGAAATACACACAGGAAACAGCTAGAAATGGGCCAATAAAGCTCCTTTAATTCCACCCTGCTGGAAGACTTCACTTGCTGTTTAAATCATGCCAGGAAATAAACCATTGAATGAGTTGTTTTTGTTAGAGACCCATCCTAGAGAGCCTGGAAACCAGGCCTGGGGATAAGGAAGGAGAAAGGCTAGGAGAAGGCTGGGTGATGGCTCCCACCTTTGCCAGAGAGCCGCCGGGGCTGTGTGCCGACGCAGATGCTCCGGCTGTCCTCGTCATCCTCGGGGGGCCGGCTCAGGTCGTCCCAGGCACATTTGGCACTGACACCACTCAGGTTGGAGCCGTCTGTCTCAATGCCTTTGTCAACTCTCTCCTGCTTGAAAAGAGCCAAAGAGCCAGAGTTCTTTCAGAGAACTGGTGGCCCAAGGTCATCATCCTTTCAGCCACCACTCAGTATTTACTGAGCCCTTATGGTGCTGAGCACAGGACAGATGCTAGAAGAACAGGGTCTCTGACCTTGTTCTGCCCTGGTTACCAATGCATGATAGTCTCTGCTAGCTCTTGGACTCCTCCAGGGGAACCAGGGATTAGGGGAAGCCAGGAGGAATCCAAATCCCAAGCCAAGCATCTCCTCTGCTACCAACCTTCCAGTACAATGGCCTCTACCTGTTTCAGAGCCCAAACCTGTCCCCGCCGGACTGACTGGTCAAGCTGATGTGGCCATGAGAGAACCTACTCCTCTGAGGAGAGGTGTGATCCTTCCTTTTCTCCCAATCTTCCAGCCAGAACCTCCCAGTCAGTACTGTAGAAGACAGGGTGGAAGCCTGCCACAGGCAAGAGGGCGCACCTGCAGTTTCTCCTTTTAACAGCTAGAGGGTGTGGTCACACAAGGAAGAGCCACCAGAGAGCAGAAGGCTAGACTTCTCCCAGCTGCATTGGTTCCCTTGTTTGGCAAAGGACTCTGGATGGAGACTGCTTCCTACTTCTTAGACTGAAATGGGGGCCTGGAGTACAGTGACTATCTGCAGATGCCTTTTCCACAACGAGACCCTGTCTTTGTGCAGGCCTTGGTATTGCTGAGACCAAACACTCTCCAAATGGCCTCAAAGAAGAGTTGTACCCAAAACATTTCTGGATTTTCTGGTCGATCAGTTCTGTGATGCTGGGCCTTGAATTAAAAGTCATCTGGAAGGCTCTATGCCCATATGGACCAAATAAAGCTTGTGACTGAGCACCTCAACAAGAATCTGTGCTTCCCGGCTCCATGGGTACCATACTGGCCTGTTGATCAGCCTGGGAGCCCATCTGGGGGAAGCACAGATACCGTCCTTATTTTCTGGGACCACTCAGCAAGTGGCTCTGCCCCAGACGCCGCCTTCCCATCAGTTATCTCCTCCTTCCAAGTGCTAACGCTGGCCTGGGCAAAGCTGGAGGTTCCAAGCAGGAAGAGGCTAAGCAGGGAAACGCTCTGTGTACTCTGGGCGGGAAGCGTGTATACCCTAATGTGCTCAGAGGATAATCTGAGCTTCTTCCTCTCCACTGGCTGCCCTGGGGTCCCTCACTTAGGTAAAGAGTTGCAGATAGACAATTCTTGGCTCAACTTGTCCAGCCCACTTACTTTATAAGTAAAAAGAAAAAGCTAAGACTCAGAAAGGTGAGGGACTTGTTTGGGCACACAGCTTGTTAGTGTAGGGCTCGGATCACAGAAACGTATGCCAGCTCTAAGTGGACTGATAGCAAACAGGCCCCAGAAAGGCACAGTGAACCCAGAGGAGTTTACACTTGGTGCACAGCACCACCAGGAAAGAAAGCTGTCCTTTCTCCCTGTGGGATCCCGGCTTGCTTTTAAAGACCACTAGGTGCTCCAGGTCCTGCCAGCTACTCTCAAGGAAGTCTGCTGACTAGGAAGGAGAATAGCTCTTGGCATGGAAGGATGGCTGCTTACCCTACTAGTGCAAGAACCAGGTTCTTTTTTAGTACTTGGCACTTATGACAGACCAAACAATGGCTCACAGTGCCCCATGATGGATCCCAGTGCGGCTACAGGGCAAGGGCCTAGGGAAACATAGCATTCCTGGTTCTTGAATATGCAGAAGATACAAGGAAACCAAGTTTAAAGTAGAGAGAACAGAGGATCCTGGCAGCAGTTTGAAATGTTCAGTGTTATCGGCACTAGGAAAACAGAGGAGCATCATCTGTGAATGAAGAGAATTTACGCTCAAGAACTCACAAGTCTACAGTGAAGAACTCAGGGGCTGCTGGTTACATGTCCATCTGCCACCTCTCTCTTGCACTAACACATGGAACTCCTGGCAGCTGCCTGTGGCCTACCAGATTTTTTAACAGAAGAATGAAAGGTTTTGAGATGGCGATGACCCGCATTTGGTCAGGAGAGTAGATGGAGCCAGACACGTGGCAGGCACATCATTAGCTGTCTGTGGGTCCTGCTTCAGGAGAAGCCCATAAAAAAGGCAGTTATGGGCCAGGCATGGTGGCTCATACCAGCAATACCAGCACTTTAGGGGGCCAAGGCAGGCGGATCATCTGAGGTCAGGAGTTCAAGACCAGCCTGGTCAACATGGTGAAACTCCGTTTCTACTAAAAATACAAAAACTAGCTGGGCATGGTGGCAGGCACTTGTAATCCCAGTTATTCAGGAGGCTGAGGCAGGAGAATTGCTTGAGCCCAGAAGGCAGAGGTTGCAGTGAGCCAAGATCGTGCCACTGCACTCCAGTCTGGGCAAGAGTGAAACTCCATCTCAAAAAAAAAAAAAAAAGAAAAGAAAGAAAAAGAAAGGTAGTTACATTTTTGTGGCTTTCAAAATTCACCTGCATGCTAAAGGAATGCTTCTAAAACAGTAAAGATGACACGGAAACACTGTCCAGGTAGGCCACAGGGAATGGGCAGCTGCCAGACTGTCTGTCTAGGGTTCCAACCTTTCCAGTGTAGGAGCTCTGCATGTGACTGTCCAAGACAGAAAATGCGGTGAAAAGGGGGATGAGATCATTAGCCAATCAGTGCTCACTCCTGCAGGTGGGCCATGGAGTCAGTATCACCTACACTACTGTCTGGTATGGAGTGGTGGTGGCCATGGTGGCTCTCTGAGAGTCTGGGAGGCAAGTGAATGAATACTGGGCAAGCAAGCAATATCCACTATATTTATCTTTTATTGCTGGTAATCTAATTTTTTAAGCCAATATATATTTTACATATAATCAAATCACCCTTTTAAAATGTAAAAATACATATATGTCTGAGGACTAGCTTTCCTAGGCTGAAATTTCTGCTCCCTATGTGCTCTACAGAATTCAGAGGACAAGTTCCAAATGATGCCATATTTCTACTCACTCACACATAAAGCTCCTCCGTTTTCCCAGGATGAAAGCCAGTGTTATTTGGAAGAGGCCTAGGCACAGGGTGCTAGAAAGGTTTTCCTCACTCAAGACATACTTGCAGGTGTGGATCGATCTCAAATATGGTCTCTCCCCTCCGCATGTCAGTTATCAGCCAGGGGCCTCCAGCGCTGTGGACAAGGGAAGAGGATACGATGGTAACTGAGGGTCTGGGGTTGATGGACTGGGCCTACAGCCTGACCTGTTTGCTGCCCTAGGCCCAGGACATAGGGGAATAGTTTGTGGTAAGGGGCTGTCAGGGAGTGAGTCGTCAGAAAGCCCTGATATGAAAAACCAGGGCCTGAAATAACAATGCAAAAGGGAGCTCCACATGGAGGGTGACAGAGGGACTCCCACCCCCAGGCACAGGGAGCCAGGCTCCCACCTTGCATAGGTACTCACACAGGTACTGTCCGCAGCAGCTCCAGGATGCCCTGCCCGTTCCACTGCTGGGCTGAGTGTAGCTCCTCAGTGCAGACACCAACAATCTAAGGCCCAGGATAGAAAGCCACTGTGTGTTAATGGCTGGCCCCCAGCCCACGAAGGTCAGCTACGCAGGTTCTCTGAGTCACCTCTATTTGGGAGATCACACACAGGATCTGTGCTCAGGAGCTGGTGCATCCAAGATGGGATGGTTCCCTTAGGAGGGAGTGGCTCCCTGGCTGGGAAATGGCTGGGTCCACAGGCGGGCCCTGAGGCCTGACCCTTGCCCTTGCTGTGTCTGGGTGACACCAAGTCTAGCTCTTGGTTGCAGAGAAAACCAAGGCCTGAGCAACTCAAGATGGGTCCTCAGGCCATGTCTCTGGAAGTAGGGGAGGTTCAGGGTGCTGTTCCTACCCAGTCTGGTATCATGGGAATGTAAATAAGAGACTTTGAGACCTATCAGTCTTGGAACCGTCACCAATAGGTTCTAGCACTTGCAGAGAAACTCCTCCCTTCCTTCTTAGGGGCTAGGCCTTGGTGTAAATATCAAGGGAACCAGTGGAACCTTCACATAGATTTATCGTGACCAAAAATAAGCACTGGTCAAAGCTGGGCAGGTTTCCACAGCTTCTGAGAAATAGCAAGTACAAGCCAGAGCTGGCTTCCTGCTGTAAAGTCCTGTTCCCGAGACTGGGTCTTCACTGTTCACAGAATACCTCCCACCCCCGTTACTCTCTCAGCTACGGCCATTCTCTTCCACCCAAATGGCTTCCTCCCCTCCCCGCTTCTCCCATCTCAGCAGGTTAAATCGGACCATCTATACCTACCTGATAAACCATCAGAGAAAACAGAAATCAGGAGGAGGCCAAAGGAAACCTCCCCTCCCTTCACTCCCCCTCTTCAAGCATTCCCGTCCTGCCAGGACCTTTCCCATGGGAAGGCTTGAGCCAACATCCAACCTGTGCCTTACCTGGAGGAAGGTAACTACCCCAAAGGGTGTCTGCACGGGCTGCATCTGTGGGTCCTCTGTCAGCAGCATGTGCTGAATTCTTGACTCACTGTTATCCAAAGGGCTGTGCCAGGACACATGGTCCCCACTGCAGAAGGTGTTCTCTGTGGGAGAGACACAAGGATCCTCAGTGTTGGAGGCCCCAGATCCAGGCCTGGAATGTGGCCTGGGATCTCACTAGCCCAAGCTGGGAGGCTTCCCAGCCTCTTAGGGTAGCCCCTGTGAAGGAAGAGAAACATTCACTCCGTGTGGATGGAAACAAAGAGTTTGTGGATATTTCCAAAAACCCAAATCGTTCCTGCTTGCCAATTCTGTCAGCCTTAAACGGAAAAGGACAGGCTATTAGTGTGGAAGCTCCCTTGGCCTGGGAATCCCAAAAGACTTCTGGCATCTGCTTCAATTCCCCAACACCCCGACTCATGGTGGGAGGCAGGAGCCATGGTTGGATCTGCCAAGAAAGAATAAAGTGCTTTTCTGTGGGGGCACCTGGTCAGAAGTCCACAGGGAGGCAACAGGGTAATGAAAGCCCTTTGCCTTGGAGAAACAGACCGGGGTTTCTATGCTCAGAAGGAAACATCCAACCTTGGAGGGCCTTTGAGGTCTCTCACCAGTTTCCCACAGGTAGACATAGGAATTCCTGAGGAACACTAGGCTTCAAGTAAATGGGAGGTCTAGATAGTGCCTCCCACACTGTGGCGGAGACAACTCGCCCTGAGGGTCCTCAGACCATGTCTCTGAGATGTTCAGATTCTGCCAAGGGGTAGGTATTGGCATGAGGGCACAGCCTACTCACAGGCACACCACTGCATGTCACACATGTCCATTACTTTAGAAAGCGTTTTGTTTAAGGCCACATAACCACAAGGGAAAACAACCCCACGGGGTATTAAGTCTTCCACCAGCTCTGACTCTCATTGTGGGTGCCAAGGTGCTCTGCATTACCAGCCTATGTGTCCACAGGCTGCCATCCATGTTTTGTCCTTACACAAATGGAAGCACACTATTCTGCAGATTTCACTTAATTACTTATCTTAGAGATCACTTCTTTTTTTAAAAAAAAAAAATATGGAATGCTTCACGAATTTGCATGTCATCCTTGCGCAAGGGCCATGCTAATCTTTGTATTGTTCCAATTTTAGTATATGTGCTGCTGAAGCGAGCATGAGCTCACTTCTTACCAGCACATAGAGAGCTGTCTCATTCTTTAAATGGCTATTCCAGAGTTCACTGTGGTCTGTCATTCATGATCTGGGAATCTCAACAGTTGAGGTACCTTCACTTTTTATCAATATTTAAGGTAAGGCAGAACGAACACACACACACACACACACACACAAAATCTTTTCCATCCAAGATACAGCTCAGGTTATTGATTCTAACCTCAATGGTGTTCATTCAGGCAAGAGAAGGAAGATTACTTCCTCTGAGATGTGATAATACAGGGGAGGGGAGAAGGCACAGCTTCAGGTAGAGCCAACTGGAAACTCCTAAATTTCCAAATTCCTGCTAGGCCCGCTCTTCCTAGAAGCCCTCTCCTTTTATGTAAGTGTGTTTCTACAAGTAGACTGCATGTTCTACAAGCAAGAAACAATACAACAGGTGAAAGGACTGAATAAATAATTAACCCCCCTAACAACATACACACATACTAACAGTCCAGGACCACCAGATGACTCCACTGGTAAATTCTGCTAAACATTTAGAGAAGAATTAATGTTAACTTTTCGCAAACTCTTCCAGAAAATAAAAGAAGAAATACTTTCTAATTCATTGTATGAAAACAATACTATTCTGATATCAAAAGCAAAGGTAAGACAAGGGAGAAAAAAAACCTATAGACCAATATACTTTATGCATATAAAAACAAAATCCTCAACAAAATACCAGCAAACAGAACCCAGCAACATATAGAAAGGGTTATACACAATGACCAGGTAGAATTTATCCCAGAAATGCAAGGTTAGTTATACATAAGGAAATCAATGTAATATATCAACAGAAGAGGTTATAAAAAAAAAAAAACACTACATGATTATGTCAGTAGACACAGAAAAAGCATTTGACAAGATCCTTTTTATGATTAAAAATACTCAGACTTGGAATAGATGGAATTTGCTTATCTTGATAAAGGGCATTAACAAAAAAACCCCACAGCTAATATCATACAGGTACTTGATTGATGGTGAGTGACTGAACTAATTCCCTCTAAGATCAGGAACATGACAGAGATGCCTACTCTCACCACTTCTATTCAACACTGTATTAGAGTTGCAAGCCGGGAAAATTAGGCAAGAAAAAAGAAATAAAAGCCCAGGTGTGATGGCTCATGCCTGTAATCCCAACACTTTGGGAGGCCAAGGCGGGTAGGTCACCTGAGGTCAGGAGTTCAAGACCAGCCAGGGCAACATCGTGAAACCCCATCTCTACTAAAAATACAAAAACTAGCCAGGCGTGGTGGCATGAGCCTGTAATCCCAGCTACTAGGGAGGCTGGGGCAAGAGAATTGCTTGAACCCAGGAGGCAGAGGTTGTAGTGAGCCAAGATTGTGCCATTGCACTCCAGCCTGCGGACGAGCAAGACTTGGTTGGAAAAAAATCCAAAGATATACAAATAGCTAATAGGCACATAAAAAGGGCCTCAATGTGACCATCAGGGGAATGCAAATCAAAACCACAATGAGGCCAGTCCGGTGGCCTCCCAAGGTGGGAGGACTGCTTGAGGCCAGGAGTTTGAGATCAGCCTGGGCAAACATGGCAAAACCCCATCTCTACAAAAAATACAAACAACAAAAAAAATTAGCTGGATGTGGTGGTCCACGCCTGTAGTCCCAGCTACTCAGGAGGTTGAGGTGGGTGGATTGTTTGAGCCCAGGATCTGGAGGCTGCAGTAAGCTCTGGTCACACCATTATACTCCAGCCTGGGTGACAGAGTGAGAACCTGTCTCAAAAAACAAAAGAAAAGAAAAAACCCACAATGAGGCACCACCACTTCATACCCACTAGAATGTTTAAAATAAAAATGATAGCAATTACAAGTATTATCTGGCAATAAAAAGTAATCAATACTAATATATACAACATGAACCTTAAATACATTATGCTAAGTGAAAAAAGCCAGACATAAAAGACCTTATGTTACATGATCCCATCTATATGGAATGTCCAGAATAGGCAAATCTATGGAAACAGAGAGATTAGTGGTTGTCTAAGGCTGTGATGTTTGGAGGGAATAGGGAGTGACCAATAGGGGATTCTTTTTTTATGGTGACGGTTTCACAAATGTCAGTTACATGGTATGTGAATCATATCTCAATAAATCTGTTATTAAAAAACAGGATATAGCAGGCAAAAAGAAGGAATCTTGGGGCAGAGACAAAGTAGGGGAAGCAAGGCCAAGCCTCTAAATTCCTTGTTCCCACCACCCCAAGCTCAGCAGCCTGGCCTGGGAGAAACCTGACCCATAATGCTGACACATCACAGCACTGTATATGTCTACATGACCTGAACAATCACCTATCAGCATGTTCTTTTCTACAAATGAGAAAAGGATGCTTGAGATTGCACAAGGTTTCACAGTATGTCAGTGATGACGGGCATGTCCCAACACTTCCCAGACTTTGGGGTCATCCACAACACCCATCAGGATGTTTGCCATATCTGTGTACCATCTGTACCATTACCTACCTGTATTTTTCTTCTAAAATTGACTTTTTTTTTTAACCTAAACAAACTTACTCTGAAAAGATAATTTCATATCATTATACTAAATAAGAAAAATAAATGGAAAATTAGTGTTGCTTACCATTAAGTGGAAGACAATTTGATAACTTCAGGATAATATGATGATAATAAAATGTTATTAATTTCTAGCTGATATTGTTGCCCATTTAACATTGTTTAAAAACTGAAATAAACAAGAGTCAAAGAACTGTTCAAGATTTAAAGAGTCATATTGAGCTAAGACAAAATCACCAAGACTGAGAGAAAACGAACTGGGCCAGGCATGGTGGCTCATGCCTGTAATCCTAGCACTTTGGGAGTCCCAGCGAGAGGATTGCTTGAGCCCAGGAGTTCAAAACCAGCCTGGGCAACATAGTAAGTCCCCATCTTTAAAAAAAAAAAAAGAGAGAGAGAGAGAGAAATGAAGAGAAAAAAGTGGCCTCACTATTCATGCTACCAAGTTACCACTCTTGTGCAGTTACCAGCTGAACTCGCCTGCTGGTTCTGGCAAACCCTGGCATAGTGGTGAACTTTGGAGTTGGGAGGGCCCTGTTTCTATTTGGCTCCGTTCCTAACTAGTTATGACCCTGGGGAGCTTTCCCAAACGCAATATCCAAGCCTGTTAGCAGGAAATAGCGTGCCTACTCAGTGTGCTTTCTACTACAGTGTGTTATTACTCGTGTACTGGAATACAGTACAGATACTCCCACCCAAGTCGCCAGAAAACAGAACTGGCCACAGAGCCTGTAGCTACCAGCAAGTGCCCAGTAGGTGGCACCATTGCTCCTGGTTTAAGAAAGAGATGGGCCAGTTCCCTGGAGCTTTGCATCCCTATCTGATGTCTGGAAACATACCCCAAACTGGGTGGGGATTTATTTAGGCTAGAAACACGGAAAAGATTGGAAAGATTTGGAGCCATGACCTTTGACATTTTAACCAGAATTAACATGCTTTAAAAATATTGTGAAAACCCAAAATGTTTAAACCAGAATGACCAAAAAGCACTTTGTGCAGGCTTCGTAACTTGGGAAGGGGCTTAATTTAGGCAGCTGGGAGAGGGGGACTCTAAGGCAAGAAGAGGGGGTTGGTGCTGCTCTAGAACCAACATGTTCTACCCTGAGCATGTGTGATCATGAGCATGTGATTTGGCTTTCGCCAAAGGTACTCCTGAGTTAAAGCAGGAAGCAGAAAGTACAACTTCCATCAGAAATGCTTGGAGAGCAGGACACTAAAAGAACCTTCTAGCAAGGGGCAGGGTCTTACACAGCTCTGCCTGTGAAGGAACCGGACTTATGAGCTCTTCTGAGGCCAAAAAACGGTCTTTCTTAACAATGAAAGAGCCTTGGTCACAGTTCTCAAGTCTGGGACAAAGCCACAATGGGTTC